TTCAGGTTCTTGCCACTTGAGTAATGTCAAATATGGGTTCCATCTCATGCAGAGGCCTTTGGATCCAATCAAAAAGTGATGGGTTACTTCTGTACGTTTGTGCAATTGTTGCACCAGTATATCTTTGGGGAAGGTCACTGTTGTTTGTAGGTTGCAGGGTTTGTACCACGGTGCTGTGTAAAACGACCTTTCTCTTCCAGTAGCATGCAGAGTACCTTCAACACCATTAATACTGGTCAATAGGGGTGAAGCTTCTACACTTAGGTACTGGCTTGACATCTCTGTGTTTGATGACGTAAGTGTGATCTTCAGCAATAGAGCCTGTGATGTTTGGGGGATTCCGTGGGATTCATTTGGACAACATTTTTCTGGCAGTGGAAGTTTCACTCGGTGTCATGATGTCTAGAAGGCATTGTCTCCCCTATTATTAGACAGTTTTACTTCGATCACCTTCATATGGACCTTGGCTTTTCTAACTGGTGTAAGATGAAATCTCCAAGTAGTTTTAATTTGTATTTCTCTGGTGGCTAAAGCTGTTAACAGTTCTTTTAAGTGCTTCTCAGTCGCTGGAGTTTAATCTTTTGAGAATTCTGTTTAAAAATTTACCCAATTTTAATTGTTTTTTTTATGTCTGTTTTGTTGTTGTTGTTCTTTATATACTTTAGAGATTAACCCTTTATTGGATATGTAATTGGTAAAGATCTTTTCCTATTCTGTAGCCTTCCTGCCACTTTGTTCAAATGATGGTGTCCTTTGTTACACAACAGCTTTTCGGTTTCCTGAGATCCCACCTATTGTTGTTTTTAGTGCCTGTGCTATTGGTGTTCTGTTCAGCAAATCTTTTCCTGTGCCAATGAGTTCAAGGCTAGTCCTCACTTTCTCTTCTGTCGGGCTCAAAATATCTAGTTTTATGTTGAGGTCCTTGACCTGCTTGAAATTGAGTTTTGTACAGGGTGATAGATATGTATGTATTTTCATTCTTTTGCGTGTACCCATCTGTTACATTTGATGAGCACCATTTGTTGGATATGCAGTCTTTTCTGTAGTATGGAATTTTGCTTTCTTTGTTAAAAATCAAATGTCCGTAGGTGTGTAGAATTATGTGTGGGTCTTCATTGGTCCCATTGGTCAACATGTCTGTTTTAGGCCAACATCATGTTGTTGGCTTGTTACTGTCTTTCCTACTGTAGCTGTGTGACACACCTTGAAATCAGGGATGGTGGTACTCCAGTTTCAGGGGATCTGGTGCCCTCTCTGGCCTCCACAGACACCTGCATGCACACATGCACTTGCATGCGCATACTAACAGTCAGACTGACAGACACAAACAAACCAATAATAGAGGAAATCATTTTTAAATTAAGTGTCTGTAGCTGTATGCGTTTACGCCTTGGCCTTCTGTTCTGTTCCATTGATCTTCCAGTGTGTTTTTGTGCCAGTATCCAGTTTCTATTACTGTGTCTCCGTAGTACAAATTGTAATCAGGGTGCCCTCCGGCATTACTCTTTGCTTGGAGTTTCTTTGGCTGTCTGAGGTCTTTTATGTTTCTAAAAAGACAGCCATTTCCACATGGTTGATATTCCACTCCCTGTGCACGAGGGATCGTTCCATCTTCTAGTGTCTTCTTCCATTTCTGTCTGGAGTATTTTAAAGTTTTGTTACAGAGGTCGTTCACTTCTTCGGTTAGGTTTATTCCAAGGTTTTTTTTTTTTTATGATAATGCTGAAGTGATTGTTTCTCTGTTTTATTCTTTACCATGTGGTTGGTGCATAAGGACAGTATAGATTTTGTGTGCTAACTTTGTATCCTGCTGCTTGGCTGCGAGTGTTAATTAATTGTAAGAGTTTTCTGTGTGGCATACCATTGTTTGCAAAGGAAACCACTTTGACTTCTTCCTAAAACCCCTCTTTTAATTCCATGCAGTCCCATTTTTGTAGCTAGAGTTTTCCTGCCTTGCCCACAGTCAGGACAAATCTTGCTCAAAGCCAACCAAGTAAACACAGAGACTTATATTGCATACAAACTGTATGACCGTGGCAGGCTTCTTGCTAACTGTTCTTATATCTTAAATTAACCCATTTCTATAAATCTATACCTTGCCA